AGCCTCATAAATTTGGCATTAAGTTTTGGTTTGCAGTTGACGTGCAAACAAAATATATTTTGCATGATTTCCCTTATATGGAGAAAGATGAAACTCGATGCTCAAGGGAAAAAGAACAAGATGACTTTGTTTTCCTCAAATTTATATAAATCAGAAAACTGCACGCTTGCTGTGTATAAAAGTAAACCTAACGTAAAAGTCCTCCTTCTAAGCACTAGACATACAGGTATACAATTAGAAGACAATTATAAAGGTGTTCCAGAAACCATTGCTTTTTATAATAAAACAAAGTTTGGTGTGGACGTCGTTGACCAGATGGCAAATATAGTGTGAAAGCAGGGAGTTTTCGATGGTCCCTTCAAGTTTTTTCTCAATATTTCAGATTTTGCAAAATAAACGCGTGGAAAGGAGTTCATATTTTGCCAAAGATCAGACGCTTCATTTCTGTCACTTTCAACTGTCAAAAATGCGAAACAGTTACCAAGTGAGTTACTGCAAAAAAAAAATAGAAGCAATAATTGTCGTATATATTGCAAAAAGATTGTATGCGGAAAATGCACAAACAAAATTCAGTATATTTGTAAAAAAATGTGCTCAATAAATATGATTACCCTATAGCGTTAATATTATTATCATTTCCGTGATAATTAAAAAAAAAAGACTTTTTACTTATTAATAATGTATTTAAACGTGAAGCCTAATATTATTCAATTCAGATTTAATTTGAATAAATCGACTTTTTAAAGAAAATGAGTATTTTCGTTTACCCATCAATTTGACGAGTCCTCGTAGAGATAGGTACATAAGAAACGCCCGTAAACCTAGTGTTAACAAATATAATCTTCAACCGTAAACTGCGTAGTAAACTGTTTAAAACACGTTGTTGAATAAAAGGGTGGCCCTGATAAAGTCAAAGTTTATGTTAGTGTTCGAATATTCTCGTGACCAACTGTAAATATAAAGATACGAATTTGCATGAACATCCGGAAACGAGCGATTAGTGCAGTTTACGGTTATCGTATTTCGCGAAACTTGGTATTTTACGCAGCGGGATCGGAGATTTTCCACACGTATACTTCGTCTTAGAGATATTTTCCTCGTTCTAATGCATACTTGGTAATTGGATCCGGTTAATATTACGATGGTAATTATTCTTATAGTTGCATAACTTAATACTAGTTAAGAGCTTAATATCTGACCCGTCGCGACAGTCCTCGTTTCAATAATTTTTACGTAACATTGGGTCGCGGATAATAAAATAAATAAATAAATAAATACTTATCAGGTTAAATCGATTCGAGATACTGTTAAAGTAGTTCGCAAAGAGACGACGCCTCTGCATCTGTGGGTCATCTACGAACGTCGTGGAGCAAATGAGCGGACGAAGAATTTTTGCTGGTGTATTAGTTGGCGAAGAAGAGGAAAATGACGTAAAGAGAAACGGAGATGCGAGAGGATGAACAAAGATCATCGACATGATCAGATGAAAGAAACGAGAAGCCGTATCTAGGTTTCGTAACAGTAGTATATAAAGCCAAGTATTTCGATAAGTTTGTCAGTAGTGTCAGTTATAAGCTGTCTCGTAAAGGAATCGATAATGTCTCGCATCCTCTTTGTCTTCCTCGCCGTTATGGCTATCTTCTCCAGTAAGTAACTTCTCTTAAAGATTAACGCGATATTTCATATAATTTTATGTCATTAAAAACAAAACATAGAATATATTCAAACTGTAAAGAAAAACTCTTTTTGTTTCGCCTTCCACCGGGTACAGTCACATATTTCTGTATTTTCAATTCACAAAACGTATGAATAGCTAATTCACAATACGAATCCGTTCACTTCTTGACTTAATTATTTATTTCTGTAACAGCATACTTGCTTTACTTGTACGAACTGTACCGTTAACAAAAGCACGAGGTGCTGAATCATTGACAGGCGCCCGCTTAGATTTTACTCTTTTAATTGTTTTCATAAAAATACGAATTTATATAAAAATCTAATCGTTAGCAGATCGATTAGAGATACTGCGAAAAATAATACAGTGATATCGTATTGCTACAGCTTCGTTTGGTCAGCAATGTGGACTGAATGAAGAGTTTAAATCCTGTGGATCGTGCGAGCCCACTTGTGCCAAGCCACGTGTCACCATTTGTACCATGGTTAGTATTAACACGTGAAAAGCACGTTAGAAGGACACGATGAATCGATTTTTCTTAATTCGTTAGATTTATAAATGCAAGCTCCTTAAAAGCAAGTAATAAATCTATGGAATTTTGTAAACAATCGAGTAGAGAATCATTCTCGGAATATTCAATAGGATTACGAAAATACATACTTAATAAATTCCAAAGCCAATAAAGTTTCTGTAAGGTAGAATTGATTGTTGAGTTCTAAAACTCAATGTTTACCATGTTTCTTGCTTGTGGTTTTCATTTGTATTTATATAAATTTAATTACGTTACATTTATTTGCTTTCATTTTTACGGTTTTCTCTGTTCGACGTGTATACTAATTTTTGTTCTCTCATTTTTTCAGGAATGTAAGATCGGTTGTCAATGTAAGGACGGATACTTGAGAAATGGCGAAGGAACTTGCGTTCTTCCAGAAAGGTGTTAACTTCTTCGTTTAACTTATTTGAGACCCATTCTTCACTTTCTCGCTGGCGTTTGCAATCTCTTCGCTGCTACTTTTTTCTTTTCTTCTTTTTTTACTTTACCAGTTTTTAATGAAAACTCAAAATGAAAATGTATTACTCTATCTATTCATGGATTAGTATTAGTCATAAGTTTACCTAAATAAAGACTATAACAATACTATCAAACTGGTGTCTTAAATACCTACTTAAACTGCATCGATCGTTCTCAGTAAGCAAATTCAATGTTTAGAAAAAAGAAATTAAGATTTCAGTGTCGTTACCAATGTCGTGTTAGGTGTAAATGAGTACTCGTGACGCAAGGTTAAAGTTACAAACACAGGTTAATATCTTTTGGAAATAAGCACACATATAGAGTCACACAATGAATCGCTTTAAATTTGCATAGATTCAAATTTTTATTTCCAGTAATAATTTCAAATTAAATTAAGTTCAATTTTTAGTAAAAAGTTCGATTCTCTATTTATGCGCTCGTCGCTATAATTCTCCATATTAAAGATAGCGAAATTCTAGAAAAAGTAAACGTACTTACCATAAAGATAAGCAACGACGACGAAGAGAAAAATAACAGCGGTATGAGACATGTTTGAACGAAGAAACCTGCGATCATAGTGCAATTATGCATGACTGCAATTATAATTGTAATTGTCTGCTTTTATGCTCGATAATTCGTCCTTCTAAAGGCCGCTATCTTTGCTTGTTACGTATTTATCGGTCTAATCTTTCACTTATTTAAATTTAATAGACCTATTTAAAATTATCATCAGCCTACGATTTTGTAAACTATTCAAACTCATGGTCGAATCGATTACAAAAAAAGGTAATTAATTATTCATAAAAGCACGCGATTATTAGATACTGAAACGAGCGGGAATACAGTGAAAAACACGGTGATGAATTTGTATCGTTAAAACTTTTTTCGGTCAACAATGTGAATTTGTCCTATGCTTAGTATTATTATGTTGATACTATTATCACTACTATTAATACTAATATCAGTATAGTCTCATAACGAGTCATTTCGCTAAGTTTCTATTGACATTCGTTGTTTACATTCGAACAGCCGTTTTAATACCACAAATCACACATAATAATAATAATTATGTAAGAGGAAATGAATAAAGAAGAATATATGCATACATCTGTGATACTTTATTATTTCATTTAAAAACTACCATTTTCTAAGAATAGCCTACCCATTCATCCAATCCAATTATTGTCTTTTACATTGGCTAACTGGGACACAGCGTTTAGCTGCGTTTCTCACATGTCCTTTAACACAGTGGCAGCCACGAACGCATTCCTGATGGAAATAAACGAGTAACGCGTTACAATTAAACGGAGAGTAACGGAGACAAGATAATTTTCATGATCGAGAGAAGTGTATATATGTAATACTGACCTCAGGACAATTTACGCGAGGCTTAGCACACGTAGGTTCGCAAGAAGGAGAAGGTCCACACGCCTTGAATTCTTCGTTCGGACCACAAGAAGAGCTGACGCTACTTACTATATGCACATAGAATAATGATATATCTTGAAATAAAGCAGCGATCGAATAATGAACAATCAACGATACGTGTAATGACGACGATATAAATAAATAGAAAATGCTTACTCAACTATGTAATCGTATTACTTCTACAAATTTCATTTCTAAATTTCACAAAGATTTGTTTCTATTTTCAAATCTATTTCAATTTTAAAACTATTTAGAAACGGTGAATTTTGGTTTTCTACTGTTGTTCGATTCGTTTATTCAAATTTTTATTTTCGAGTAATTATTCCAAATCAAGTGTATGTTCAGTTTGGTATAAAATATAATTTTCTGTTTATACACGTGTCGCTATAGTTGTACATATTGAAGACAGTGAAATTATACAGACAATGAACATATTGTACTTACTACAAATATAAGCAACGACAACGAAGAGAAAAATAACAGCGGTACGAGACATATTGAAACGAAATCTTCGATCACAGTTTGACTACAATTGTAAAAATTTTCGTGCGCTTCTGATTAAAATTCGTAACAGCAGTCTGTTTTTATACTCGATAATTCGTCCTTCTAAAAATCGCTATCTTCATCTGTTATGTGTTTGTCAGTATATTCACCGTACGCTAATTCGATCGCGTTACTAATTGTATGTTACGAGGAAATTTACACGTTATGAATATTTTACAAATTATTCGAAGCTCGTATAATTTGTCTTACGTGTCATATCATTAACAACTATACCAAAAGTCACCATGTTACGTTATTTCGTTATTATAAATATCAAATATTTATAAAATATAATTGCATTATAATTTAAAGTCGTTGAAATCTACTTAAGATACAAATATACATGTGAAGAATAAACTTACAGATAAGCAGAAACTCGCTTAAACAACGATTATAAACGTCGCAGATGAATTACGCTCTCTTTGACTAAGCCAAGGTGTTGATATATAAAAGGACTGAGAGACGATCGTTGCACAGTGCACATACACAATGTTTTATTCTACTTAATCTTCGTTTCTAGAAATTTAATCGACAAAATGTACCTAATAACAACAACTTTTGCCACATTAACACTTTATCTCATACGTAAGTACATCTGTTTTGTGAAATCGGGCAGCTTTCTGAAAAAAGTGCCCATAAGACAAAATGATGATTTAAGCGAATTAAGTTTTGGTTCTAGGTATTTAATATTAGCTAAGTTTCACCTGATAATTATAACGGCTCTTAAGAAACATTATCTTTTTCATATTTACAAACTAAATAAAAAGTAATTCACCTATTTGACTGGAAAATTCATCGAGCATCTACATATCTACAAATTTGCTCTTTCACTGAAAAATCTTCAACAAGTCGGAATTTCCAGTTCTTTCGTCGTGAAATTTCATTCCAAACCTTGGTTCTAAATCTTTATTCGTCTATCTTCGCTGTCAAATGATAAAACATAATTATTTATTCTCTTTGACTTGCGCGCGCTATCACTCTCTCATTACCATAAAAGGATGATTAAAATATTAGTATGGAAAGATGATTAACTATTCGACGTGAAACACTGGTATTTTCAAAAATTGCAACGAAACCGGAATTAGAGTTATTACTCTTTCAGTCGCCACCAACAGAATTTTCACTGCTGCTGACGAAACCACCGAGTCTGGTAAATGTGTTAAATAATTATTAAACCTCCATATGTATCTTTTGCTTCTCGATTTACAACGTTAACGTTAGTTTTTGTTTAGAAGAACCGACGAAATGTGGCGAAAATGAAGAGTACACGACGTGCAATCTTTGTCCAAAAAATTGCGAAAATCCCTTTCAAGAAATTTGCTCGCCAGGGGTAAGCAAGAAGAATAAAATATGGCAGGATCTTGATTATCGGAACGCCGATTAGAGGAAAAAGACAAAGTTATTGGAAAATCAACGTTTTATTATGCAAGCATTAATTAAAATGAAGATTTGTCGTCTTTGTTTCAGCCTTGCATAAAGGCTTGTAAATGTAAATCGGGATACTACAAGGACAGTGAGGGCGTGTGCGTGTCTATCATAGCTTGCATCGTCGATAATATCAGAAATCGAAGTGAGTAATCATCGATATACGCAGAATATACAGAAATGTGTCAAATGTCCAAGATACGGTTTTCGTTATATTCGGTAAATGAAAAACAAGATTCCACTTTTGTATTCCTATTTATAAAAATATGGAAAGATATGGATAAAGACAAGGTTCCGCAGTTTACTAAGAACGTTTCTAATCGTTAGAAAAAACAAGAAACGAGAAATCTCCTGAAATAATTATTCTTCTCGTAGTTCCACAGGTAACAGAGCGAAGCGATTCTTCTTCGGCAAATACGTCATAGCCAAGGTGCTAAAATTGAACAGGTGTTTATCCATGTTTGGAAGAAGGAAGTTTAAAGAGTACAAGTAGAACGAGAATTACGCGTATTGTGTACGATATTCGGGAAGAAAAATAGATATATTAATCTGCTGTTACTTACTCAATTTTAATAACGTCTGTCGCAGTATATTTCTTGATATTTGTGTATAAATATCAAGAATTATGAAATAAATGTTCCCATATTTACATACTTCAAGCGAAGTGCGGTCAGTCGTATGAATTTCTGCAAATCTTGACGGATGTCAAAGACCACGACCTCTCCAGATTATAATTTTGTTAATTGCTCGTCTTGAACGATACCGATATTATCTCACGATACTTACTTTTTCAAAACATATGTTGCATTAAAGAATAATTCGAGGAAAATATTTACTATCGAATCGTAGTACTTAAATTTATCGAGGAAATTGACAAAACAAGGTGCATCTGCTACCGATTAAAGATTATTATACAATTATCTAATCATGTGACAATATTTCTAACCAACAGTGTATTTACTTCGAATGGTACTCCAGGTCAAGTACTGTCGATTTATCAATCAACATCTAACGTACGCTTCTAGAAGCATCCTCCGACCGGTTGGAGCTGTTTCAAAGACAGATTTTATCTTTCTATCGTTAGGATATTTCTTAAATTTGAGGAGAATTAAAAAAGATCGTGACTTAGAAATGACGAGACAAAAACTTTTTTAAATATTAAATATTATTTTTCTGCGGCGCAGCTAAGTCTTGACCAAACTGCTGCGACTTCTTTAAATATTCCAGAAGCTTGAAAAATTCAAATGTTTTAGAGAAAACAGCCATCTTTCTCGAATATACTCTGTTCGTTTCTAAGAAGATCTCGGCAAAGATCAAATAGCGTAAAGTCAACCAACTACGGGCTACGGATACGAGGACATTTGCCGAAGATAAGCACTTCCACTGCTATCAAAGGCGCGATCTGTCTCTCTCGATACTATCGCGATCGTTCGAGGACCAAACAACCTACTAAATTCACAGCTTTTTGCCCTGATGCATAAAGATGCACGAAGATGCACAAAAATGGTCAAATTAGCGACCACGATAAGTATTTGTACGCCACTTTCGTATGGCTACAAAAATTTAATACTGCGGAAATGAAATTAGGAGTTTGACAAAGAAACGTTGCGTAAAAAATAAGAATGTGTAGCCACGGTGAATGGTGATATTTGTGCTATGAAATGAGCTACGACGATCGCGAAACGTCCCTTGCTTGTTTGACCAAAAAGAATTCTACTAAAAGAGGGGAGAAAGAAAAGAACTAGAAAGAATATTAACACCGAAACTTGACGAAATATTGCCTGCTAAATTTCGGTGCGCGCGATTGTCAATCGCTTTTGTTACGCTTAGGCGAAACAAATTCGCGACAAAACTTGCGAAACGACGGGAACCGTGGAAAGACGCGACAGCCACAGGCGACTTCTTGGAAGAAACGAGATTGTACGGTAAACACGAGTCGAAGTAGCCAGAATTGGATGGCAAAGGTCGTTATCCGTAACCTCGTTTTACAGATTTCGAATATATATTCGGTTTTCCCAATGGTTTCGTTCACCGAAACGACGCCAACTTTCCTTCGAGATCATAACGGAGACGATATGGTGAAAGAGAGGCGTGTTCGTATCAATGAGCAACGACTAATGGTACAGGCAAAGATTAGAAACGAATAGGTACTCGACTCTTCGATAAATAAACGATAACATTACGTAGGAAACGACATCGGTTATTTCCTTAAAGTATTGAAATTTTTCCTGGACCTCGCTCAGGTGATCTAATGAAACGTGAAATAACGTGCTAATAAGATACACGAGAACGATAGGTACAGTAACGGACAAAAGTATCTGAATAATTGCAGCGGATCACGAAAGAATATCACACTTGTGGAAATTGGCAAAGTGTGGACAGTCAATTATTCGTTACATTAATAAACTGGAATAATTAATGAGACCATCTTTAGCGCTAATTATATTTTTCGGCTCGCTACCGTATACTAATCTTTTACCAATTACATGTTTGCAATAAGTTCCTTGTGTCTTCTATATACATTTTCGAATTGATTTCAAATTTTAAAGAATAAAAAAAACTTGTTGCATGGAACAAGAATTTAATTGCGAGAGGATTTGATTTTCTTGTCAAACAGCTGATTACACAGATTTCAATTGTATGGATTCGGTAATTAAGCGCAAAAAATATCACTGTGAGATTTGCATCACCTCGTTTGTTGTTTGCTACGCGTATATTCCATCGATAGACGAGATATCGGCAGCGATAAACAACAAAAAGATTGCCACGAGCTATCGCTAATCTGGATATGACGAAGTAGTTAAACGATGAATCGAGAGAGTAGGATGAGTCGGTTACGACAAAAAATTTTGGAAGCACGGTAAGCGAAAAGGGGGAGTGGAGTGTGAAAGTCATGCGTCGGATTGTATAAAAGCGCGAGCGGCAGAATGTACAACTCAATCGTAACAGACGCAACATACATTGACAGTAGTCTCAAATCTCAACGTTATTTCGACGACTTTAATCGCCATGACTCGTGTAGCAGTTCTTCTCTTACTCGTCGTAGCTATTGTGTACAGCAGTAAGTAAACAGAAATTATGTTATGTTTTTGTTATTACGCGAGGCTTATTACCTTTCCCTTTACCTTTGTTTCTTAATTTTTTTATTAAAAATAATATTATATTTTACATGAATATTATGAATAAACTAGTGTCATTAATATAATGTAATAATATAATTAATATAAAATGTAAAGAATAGAAATTGAGAAATAAAGTATCTCAAATATATAAAAAAAGTATAAAAAAAATTTTCTTTAGTTTTTAATTATTATTTCGCTTTACGATTACACCGCGATTATTTATCAAACATTATCGAATAACGAATCTATTCATTCAACGATTAATTACAGGTGCATATCCTCAGGCGTCAGAGGCTAATCAAGAATGTGGTCCAAACGAGGAATTCAATTCTTGTGGATCCGCGTGTGTGGACACCTGTGAGAAACCAGCATCACCTATCTGCCCTATGGTTAGTGTCTCGTGATGTATAAATTTGAATAAAATTTTAATTCTTCGATTTATATCATCGATTGCTTCAAAAAGCGATCAATGTCTTGACGATACCACGAATTTTCTGTTACAGATGTGCGTGATCGGTTGCCAGTGTAAACAAGGTTTCGTAAGGAACAAGGAGAATAAGTGTGTGCTCACTCGCAATTGTTAAATTTTAACGAAATACTTTTCTGTGAAATATTTTTCTGATTGAAAGATCAACATAACGCTCGCAATAATTATGCACGGTAGAATGCTCCCTGCGTAATTTGTTGTATCATTACTTATTGTTAGTGGTAGCCACTGAACTACAGTTATTGTACTGCTTACTTTTGTTAAGCTTTGTTACATTTTTAGTGAAATACACATAAAGATATTTACTTCTTCTTCTTCTTCTTCTTTATTAATCCCGTATTTTTCTTTTTAACACGAATGGAGTTCCAACGATAAATTTTTATACTCGAAAATATAAGTCAACCAAACAGTGCAAACGACGAATGAAAAGAATTTTCAAGAAGGAATATTGTGTTTATTATATTAGGTAAAATCGTAACTACAAACGTTTGAGTTATATTTAGCTTGAAACAAGCAAATCCATTAATAGTATTTAATTAATTAAAATTTGAGCCTGAACTTTTCATATTACTGAGGACAATTAACACACCATGAACAAATGTATTTTTTTATATTACGTAGATTAGCTGAATTGTTTATGTACGAACCTAATTCTTTGACTATTCTAAAAAAATCTGGAATATTTCTGAGATACTTATCAATGTTGTTATTAACGCTTTCTTATGCTTCCTCTACACGTTATACGGAGAACTCACTGAGAATATGTTAAACGAAAGTCTAATTCTTGACTGATTCATGGTCGATCAATGTTTAGCCCTCAAACCTCGGTTAACGTTACTATAAGCTATAAAGTGTTAAGAATAGCGAAAAATCACATAACTTTCGGCCTAAAAACTACATCTCTTACCTAGTCAACGAAATCTATCGTCTGTTTCTGCAGCTTTATTATGTTATGATAGACATGTTCACGATGTATTGTTTAAATTTTCTTTACAAGCCCAAATGAAAATCGAAAAGTGTCACCTTTGCTTCTTTCTTCGCTGTTCTAAATGCAATTTTTTTTTAATTTTTTCACAAATCATCTAGTGAACTAATGCTCTTGACTTCTCAAAAAATCCCAAGCCGTTTGGCCCAATTTTAAAAAAGTTAATCAATTTCAAAGGGTGTTGCAACAGTGTTGGAAGTCACTGTACTGCAAATAGCTTCTTTAATTTTTAATTTTAATTACAATTAACTTAACCTCTCCTTTAATTTTTCCCAAAAAGCCGTATTTGTAGCATGTAATCGAAGCCAGAATCAAAACAATACCTACAATCTTATAATTAGCGCCGATCGGAACACTGCGCTCCGACTATAGTAAACACTTATAATCACAGACTATAGTCGACCTTAGGAACGAAAGGGTCAAAAATAAAGATTGCCTGACGCAATTCAGTGTCAACAGAAGCATCGAGATGTTAACTGAGAACAAAAACTGCTACATACAAATATTTGATTAAACACCTATACATATATCGGATATCAGTCTTATCGTCAATTAATTTCTTTAACGCTCGTAGATAGAGATTTCCACTTATTATTTTATTTCTCTGGATAAAAGTCTTTTACGAAAGGTATCTTTACCAATACTTTGTACAATAACGTGATATCTAAAAAGCAACCGTATCGTATCGATCATTCATAATCACAGACGTTACTGCGACCAAACAGAAAAATGTTTCGCAATTACAAAATTAAAGAATTAAACGTCAATTTTTGAATCGATTGATCAATGCCAAGCTGAAGATGTTTTATATTTTCTACCTTTTCATACTTTCGATATGCTTCCACTCCAAAATTAAAGATACAGGGTTGAATCATCGCGATTGAGTCTATACGTCTAATTTGCTTTTAGTCTCTGATACGTACCGAATGACTCATCGATAATGTAGGTTCATTGATAACGCGTCACACACCTTGCGCTTAATCGAGCAAATGTTAGTTCATTCTCAAACAAAGCAGCCGCGAGGTTAGTCGATTTTAGCAGAATGGGTGAGTAAAGTCAAACAGTAGGTTATCGAGAAAGGCGATCGTTTATTTTCTCTCGTGGAAAGTTACACAACTTCTTTTTCGTTGGCCGGCAATAATTTAATAAAGCAATAAATTATACGACCTCAACATTCGTCCGGCAAGACGCATTCGTTCAGCGAATTCTTTAAGTATCCGTCTATGCATTGACAATCCGTCACGCATTTCTAAAAGGAACAAACGAATTTTAATTCACGGTTACAGAAAATTTCTCTATAAGGAAATTTCTTTGAAGACACTAACGCTGAT